TGTACTTACACACCTTCAGCGGCTTGCTAGCCTCTGAAGGTCCTCCACTTGTTTACTGGGGGGACAGATGCCCCTCTCTCCCCCCTCCCCTGAATATTTCAGTGTTAAGGGCGCTGCGAAACACAACCGCACGCTTCGACTGCGAGCTGGGGCGGGACAGGTCGCTCCTCTCCTGCCCACCCTCGTCGATAAGTTCTCATTTCTTTTGGTTTCCTGGTGTGTATTAAAATCGCCGCGAGGGGTTGTGCTCTACCTGCTCAGGAGCTGAATTACCTCTGACCTGCGGAGAGGGGCAGCCCCTCTTTGTTGTCGATGTTGTAGTGTGCGACCACACGGATCGGTAAAGGTAGTCTTTGTTTTCTTCTCCCCTCCCCAGTATTTCTGATTAGGTTAATGCACTCTCTGTGCCCAGCTGGAAAAGTGTAGGCGTTTTCCCGGTCGTGAGAGGGTGGCTAGAAGAGTTAGTGTAATACCTGCTGTAGCTGTGTCTGGCGCAGCCCCTTGCGCTGGTATGGGTGATGTCACGGACTGTAAGGATAGGTAATGTCCATGAGCTGTAATGGCATGATGTATCTTTACCAATGATGTCATACTTCACACTAAATGTTTAAAAAAAAAAAAAAAGTTACCTGAAATTTTGTTTATTCTGCACCAACAGGTCTTCAAAATTTATCCAAATTTTATTATTTTATCAGGAAAAAAAAAGAAATTTGTGTAGATCGAATACGTTAAGACAGACAATAAGTGATGTAAATTGTTGAATAAAAATTTTAAAGTTTGTGGGTGTCAGCGTGACTTTCTTTTTTGCGCTCTCAGGGAGCATCCCTTAGCCCCGGGTATGCTGCGTGGCTGGCGACTCGACTTTCGGTCCCCCAGGCCTAGCTGGCCACAAAGCCTACGAGCAGCACGGCACGCGTGGCTCTGTGTAGGTGGGTGCCTGGTGCTGGTGTGGCTTGGCGGGGCGGGGGACCAGGAGCACGGTGTCCTTCACCTTGACTGGGGAAGGGGAGGGCAGGGAGTAGGGGAAGCGACATGGCTGCAGAGCTGCAGCGACCTAGAATTTGGCTGCTGTGTTTGTGTGTGCGAGACAGCCGGGGGATGAACTTGCCTTGGTGTAAGCCCCACCGGGCTTCAGTCCTGCTTAAAATAGGCAGGGAAGAGTCTGGTCCCTGCTACTGGGATGGGGACGTGTGACTTCAATCCCAAACACACAACAGCAAACACCCACCAAGCTGGTTTATCTTTTTCTTTCAGTCACATTTATTGGCAATTGTGGCAGTTGGTACTGTTTGGGAGTATTGTTCCATAAGCAGTTGCAGTACAAGAAGGGGTGGTTATTTCGGGAGGGGAGTATTAGCACCAAAAGGGAGCCGGTGAGCTTTAGAAACCTTGCGAGATGTACTGGGAAGTGGGGAGCTACTGCTGGACACGCCTGATGGATTGGATCTGGGAGGTCTGGGCGTGCGAACCCCACTCTCTCCAGTGCTTGTAGTCTCCTCCGTGGTGGTCGGACTCCAGGACGTACTGGTAGCCACGGTACCCGGGATACTGGTAGCAAACCCAGCTGGAAGAAAAGGAGTCATCAGGCGGCCGTAAGGGGGATAAGAGGTAAGCCAAGGGAGTTACAGGGTGTCCCCCCTCCAGCTGTGGTAGCACAGCCATGGCAGCGGTTTGTCCCTGCTGCTCGTGGTCCTTTGCCCATCACTTACGCGCCGCACTGGATCTTCATGGAGCCCACTTCATTGTTGGCCCAGCCCATGGCCTGCAGCGAGGGGTAGTCGTCGCTTATCTCCCACTGGCGGCCGATGAAGTTGTCTTTCTCGAAGACGGTGATCTTGGATTCCTTGTGATTCTGGGAGAGAAGGGCAGGGGGTGAGGGGGAGGCGGTGCTCCCTCCCCAGCGTGGATGGGGACAGCGGAGCAATGGCTGTCCCTCCCTATGGCATTGCTCAGAGGGTTTCCTCGGGGTTGCATGCGCAGCCCGAGGGAGGGAGGTGTTCAGACCCTGGGCTGGTTTTTTGGGGGGGCCTGGTTTTCCCAAAACCCAGATGGGTAGAGGTGCTCAGCAGAGTGGTGCTGGGCCAGGATGGGGCAGGGGTTGGCCTGGGAGGTGTCGGTGACAGCTATGCCACAGCTACCACCTCAGGCTGGCTGTCCCCAAGCTCTAGTCATGTACAGCTGGCCCAGAAGTTCCCCTAGAAGTTTTAGAAAACAGGACAGCAACGGCAAATCCTGCTGGGCAAGGGGGGGAAGAGCTGAGCCCACCCCAAGGAGCCTCTGCCACCCGCAGAGTCCCTGGCATGGCTGTTTGCCCTTCCTAACCTCACTCCCTTGGCCTGGTGCTATTGCCTGGGACATTTTAATGGGATCAGAGTTGAGAGCTCCGTGGGAGCCAGGACACTCACAGCGGAGCAGACGGGGCGGAAGGACATCAGGCGCTCGATGTGGTAGGCGTTGCTGCCGCTCCAGGCGTCCCAGCGCGGGTACTCTCCCCTCTCCAGGATGAACTGCTGCCCGCAGAAGCCGGTGTGCTCGTAACCGACCCAGCTGCAAAAACAGAGCAAGGGCTGCCAGGGCTTCCTGTGGCAGCTCTGGGCCTCCTGCTCGGGGCTGGCACCGGGGCACAGATATAGGTGCGAGGAGGAGATTGGGGTCTGGCCTCTGCCCACAAGTCCGGGAGGAAAGGAAGCGGTGCTGGGTGTGTAACCACGTTTGGTGCCTGGGAGGCTGCCCGCATGGCAGCGCCGGCATCTCCCCGCTGCGGTGGGAGACGGGGTCCCTCCCTCAAGGGGCCCAGCCTGCGAGGTTGGCTCACTTTCCCCTAACTGCTCTGTGGTTATTTATGCAGATCGGCATCGCGTTAGGATGCCACAGGACACCCGCGGCTGCGCTTCTCTCCCAAAGGCCTCATTTCTTACTTGTTTCCAATTACAACCTAGCAGAGCTGGAAAGACCCAAATTCCTAATGCCCAAACCAGGCAGAACCCATCTGGCTGTGCGCAGGGCAGGGAGCTGTTGCCTTTCCCCTTTTTGGGTCTCCCTCTTTGCTGAAAACAAACATGGAGAGGTGAGAGGGATGCCTCCGCCCCGCAGGGGACATTTTGCAAGCCCTGGTGCTGCTCACAGAGAGCCTGCCTGTCCCCAGGGTGGGGACCTCTCCTGGGCACGTCCCCTTACAGGGACTGGGGACGGGATGGGTCGGCTGCAGCTGAGCAGAGCGGGGAGGCAGAGGCTGGGCTGGGGGCTGGAAGGAGGCTGGCACAGGCTGTGCAGCCCACAGACCCCCTGCTTACGGGTGCTGAGGGGCACGCTGAGCTGGGGGGGTCGAGGGCCTCTTACCACTGACCCAAACTGAGCCCTGATCCTGTGTCCCGCAGTCAGCCTCCCCCCGTGCAAGGTGACCAGCCTGATTAGGAACACGTCAACTGGAGCGGTGAGCTGATTACGTCGTGAGCACGCATGCCGCTGTAATCCCATTAGCATTACAAATCCTAAATATAGCAGCGCAAATCTATCTTGTCTGCTTCCCCGGCCCCAGCGGCATGCTTGCCGTGGGGACCGCTCCTTACACACAGCGTCTCGGAGCAGCTCGGGAGATGTCTTGCCTGTGCCAGGAAAGATTCCCCTGCACAGGGAGAAGCCCAGCTCTGCTCCCTACCCCTGTCAGCGACTGGGGCAGCCCAGCGCAGGCTGCGGGAAGGCTCTGCTCTGGCCCCGGGGAGCTGCACGGTGCGGGGAGAGCACGGGGCAGAGCAGGGCTGGGCCCTGGGGCATGAAAAGTGGTTCTGAGGCACGGTGCTTCATGGGGTTACACAGGCGGATGGGGACCAGGCCGAGCTCAAGAGCCACTCGCTGAGCACCGATCTTCGCTGCATCCTTGGGCACTGGTGAGCTCCAAACCTGGTTGCTCCCAGACTGCAGGA